AGGATAAAGTTAAGAGTGAGCAATCACATCCCCGACAATACTGACTTTCGGATACATGACAATTATTTGCGCGTCCTAATCTGTCCTACTGCTATTCATGGACTCAGTGTATCCGATGATTGTTACCTTGTTCCACAGGTGCATTTGAGCGTGAACAGAACGCAACCCAGTTGAAAGGATTTAATAATTTCTCACAACAAGCCAGTTTGTAATAACATATGGATAAATTGATTGCCATACTTTCGAACACCTGCTGTTCGGTTATGAAAATTGGCAGTCTAAAATATAGTACTTTGAGTATTGAATCCAGTAAGGGCGAATCCGTCTCTAATTGAAGTAGGTTAACGTTTTTGTGTTTCGATCAAATACGGACAAGCTGTACCATGTGATCTTGAACGGTAGCATCGGTCTTCTTATTTGAGCCGCGTGACTATTTACGGCATTCTTTGTACAGAAATGTGTGTCGATTTCCTTTTCTGTATCTCCCCCGTGAATCGGTTCAATGTGCGTGACCAGTTCAAAGCATAGATTTGCCTCCGTCTCATTCATCTTGTTTCATTATTTGAATTTTAATCCTAGTTTAGTCGTCCGACACCGAGGTTTCGTCACATTTCTCCTAATTGTCACTACATGGCCAGAATCGCACCATTACCGCATGTTTTGTCCGGCTGTCACGCTGACCGATCTATATCGACTCCAAACCAATTTTATTGGCCCATTGGTCGCCATGACAACGGACACAGTTATATGCTCGTAGTGTATGGTTTGTTATTTCTAAGAAAAAGACCATGTATATTGTAATCGATTTGAATTGAACAGAAGCGATTGAGTCATACTAAACACGAGTGTCTTATCCGATACCCCTAATCTGAAAATAACAAGAACCCTTTCAATACCACAGTAAGGTTTCACAACTCTAACCGTTCCTCTGCAAATCAGTTCCCTGATTCTGTTTGCTTCCGGGTACGGGGCAAACCTCGTGACTCGTAGAGAATAAGTGCATTTATCGTGCGACAAGTTAAGCAATCTAGAGTATCAAGCTTGGATTAGTCCATTCGATTGTTCAGAGGCACCAGGCACTCTTCATGGTCTTGATCGCGGTTCGAGTCCTGACAGGGACACAAAAAGTACACACTGCTGACGAGTCCCAAACAGGACGAAACAGCTGTCCAGTGCTCTTTGTTTGGTTATCACAAATATTTCCATCGCATTTGAATACATTGTCTCGTGGGGAATTAACGATTTCCCAAGGAATGAAACGAGTTAGGCAATCCTCTCCTCTGGATAAGGCCGATAAACACTATTTGTTCAATAGTAATTTCCCATACATATTCAGTCCGGGGATCCGAAGTCACAGTCCAGACTTGGTAAGTGAATGCTCGGTATGAGTTTCACCTGAACATCAGGATTATGTGATTGCTGACAGTCAATTTATACCTCACCCTGACTACCCTATCCTAGCGGGATTGATCGCTAACTGCTGACAGACTAATTTAGTTGAAAACAAACAGAACGTTTCGGTTGTCGATATTCACTACCTATAATCAGTTCTCCAGCTAAAATAAAATTACACCTAATGATATTAAAGTTTCCCCAGCGCTGCAATTCATCACATTGTACCCTCTAAACAGTCANAAAACGACCAAATAATTTATGTCAGACTGTGCAGGTTGCACAACCACTTGTTTAATTATTGTCCGTTGTCTTTTTCGTCATCCTTTTGTCCATTCACTTCCATCCACCAGGGTGATTGCTTTTCGTCGAGGGAACAAAGTTGGTGTCCGTATCAATTTGACACCGGTCGTAGATGTGAGCAAGGTGCGACCAACTGCCGCTTGTCCATTGACACCTGTGCGTGAGGAGTCTGAATCGCTGTTCCAGGAGTTCGAAAAGGATCAACTGGTACCTTTACGTGCAGCCGTCTGTTTGCATTTTGACTACAAGAACACAACCACGGGTCTATTATCCGAGCAGCGAGCAGCTGCGGCCGCTGCAGCTGCAGCTGCAAACGCCTCAGCTAGTGCGGTGAAAGCCAGTACCACGGGAGATGGAACATCAGAAGGTGCAGATGGAAAAGGTCAGTCATCATCGGTTGTCAGCGGTTTGACTTCTCCACCCGGGGCCACGGATCAGATTCAACAAGTCGATCTGGTTGTTCTGCTAAACTTTGGTGATATGGTTCTGAAAAACTGATATACGGGTTCCTCTTGACTCAACTGTTTCGGTTTGCGGTTATGGACTTATTTCTTCGCACCATTGTTCACAAATTCAGATCTGCTTAGGGACTGCAACAAATTCTCCAACTGAGACAGATCTTAGTTTGTGACAGATGCTTCTTTCCTGGGTATCACATATCACCGGAACTGGCAAACATGCCTAACCATGTCCTGTTTGACATTGCATGTCTTGTGTCTTATCTTCTGCGAGCAGAAACATATGGTCTCTTGTTTTGGGTTCCATTCTATTCTCGCTGATCGCACCCGGACACACCCAGTATTTATTCGCTTTATTTTTTTCGAATTCATATTTTGTCCTAATCTGGGCTGTCTGGCGTTCTTCCACAATTAAGCTGTGCGCAATAATCTATCGCCTCATGACGGTGTTTGAACTGTTTACTTCGGAATCAATCATTATTTGAAATGTCAAATTGACTTTTCTCATGTCGTTGGTCCGCGCCTCAAGACCAAGCTTTATAGTTCAATTGTGATTGTGTTGTTAGGTGTGTAACTTTTTGAGGACTGAAGAAAGTAAACCCCTGATATCTAGTCAACTCAGAAAAAAGGTTTACTGAAAGGAATCCTTACCATTGTAAAGTAAGACCACATGTGTTAGCAAAGAAGGTACTGGTTCCATGGGAATGGATGTGTAACCGTGGTAACTTTGCTCATACCGGCTTGTAACTGCTTCTCGCTTCCATCAGGTTTTTGGACATTATTCTTTTGAGGTAATCCCACCATTGATCAATGCTATTATGACCTGGTTTTCGGCAGGACATGATAACGTTCGTACTGTTGGGCTTCTTGATACTCGGGCGCCGGGGCGTCGTCGTCCTGCAGGACAACACTTGTTATTCTGGCAGCGACTGTCGCTCATTCGTTAGCATTTAAGTACTTCTGTTCTGTGAAGGAATTCAGTCCCCCTTTCGCATCGTCACGGAACTCTTATCACCACGCATTGTTGATGCACTCATTTAGTTTTTGTGCATCCTTCATATTCTCCTTTCATTTGTTATTCTTGGCTGGAACGTTACTTTATCGGTCAACGCTACATCACCCTATGGCGTTCCACAGCAGTGATGCTGATACATCACCCACTCCGGACATACTGTTGGTAGTAGTTGTACATAAATGGAATTTTTCCCTCCACCTTCCATTTAAACTTGCCTCTTGCCGTACGTTCTGAACCGCAATGTCAAACCTGTTTTAACTGTGACAATCTTCTACGTGTTATGAGGAGTACGGGACCATGCAAAACAGACGTAAGTCAGGTGATTAATGTTTCCAACGGCACACTGATCCATATTCAGCAACACCATCTTCAGTCGTGGGCTAGACGTTTTGTTCTACTAGATGTTCCTACTGCTGCTTCAACTGGCGAACATTAGTCCTCCATCTGAAATGGAGGTTACCTGGGAAAACGCTCACTTGAATAGTTATTCGGTCTGCCGGACGCGCTGTCCCCATCGGCTTTTAAGTATGGAGGTTCAGCCTGTTGCGGAGTTGGGGATTCGGGGGCCGTTATCTTGATGAGCCCTTGCAAAAATAGGTATAGGCTCTTGAACAAGCGCATCCTCACTAAGGCTGGTCCTTCCGAACATACTAGGTTGCCGCAGCGTTGTGATACATACCCTGATTCTCGGCGGTACGAAGCCTTCAATGGTTCTTCGTAAAACACGTCAAATGGCCGGCCCATCTGTCATGCACGGCGCTTTTCTGTGCGAATACCGATTGTAGCTATACCCAACCTAGACTTGGGCGAAGCAGTGGATACTGTGCTCGAAAGGCAACTTCGCCAGTGCCTCCACCCGCCCCTTGCACGAGTGACAAGGATAAAGAATTCGAAACATTGCGCGCTACAATCGCCCAGCTGTCTACAACTGAATGCCGGAGTTGACTGCCGGTCACTTTGGATAGCCTGCAAAACCAGACGATTGAGCTCGGAGACATGGTCATGAGGAGACACATCACAAGCCGCTCAACTTCACTCAGTCTACAATTGACCTCGCCTAGCAGGACAAATACTCCCGCATTAGAAGCGGATGGCGTCTGCTGGTGTTTCTGGTGACTCGAAAAGTACCATCAGTGCTCGGTTTGAAGTCCATGGAAGGCGTTAGTATTTCTAGCTCGTTGGTGACCCAGCAAGGTACCGTTTTGGTTACTGATCCTAGACAGTAGAGTGGGAGGTAATTTTGTCAGGTCACCAAAACGTGCATTTGAGGCAATGACGCCGTCGGATACCCTTAAACTAGATAATTCCCTGCCAAAATACGCAATGTGTTTCATTGTACTCCACATTGCATTCCCGCAAAATTTAATTATTAATTATTAACAACAATTTCAAAATGTCTTGCACCCACGGATGTTTCATTTCAGCGTAGAAGTAATCTATGACCAGTCAATTTTATTCTACTGTTCAGTTCAGGGTGCATAAACTTAAAGAAGCTTTGGCTAACCGAAAATCCAGAATTCCTTCTGTGGTATGTTTTCTACAATCTTTCGTCCAGTTCGTTCGGTTTCCGATGGTTCATCTGTCCTCCACCATTTCAAGATGACGGTTTTTTTATGTTAGGCAATGCTACCATGCACCATTAACTTGGGGGTAATATGATATTGCTATAATTCTACAAAGCGGTGTCCGGTCGCGGATAGTTGTCTATTGCAAATTGCGATTGGGGGTTTCAATAATTTGGCATACATATCTCACTTGAAACATGTTATCGAAATTCCCGGCAGCACATCAGGTCATGAATGGAGCAGTCCGTAGTTATTCGTTGAGGCATAGCCCTCAGTGGTCTTGTTAACTTTTGAACGTTGAAGGAAACCGTAAACCTCATTATTTTGCACACTACTCTTAAATGTGAGTAGAACCTCACGGCAGTACGAATTTTGATTTTACATGCAAAGTTCAGTTTAGTTTAAACAACCATTAAGCATGCATTTCAGTGTGACGCTTTTGGTTGCTGTCTTTTGGTTTCCCATTTGGGTGAACAATAGGAGGAAAACAGGAAGGTTGAAAGTATGATCGAAGATAAAATTGAAAAGTTCAGTGAACTAATTAAGCGGAGAAATTGAGAAGATGCACGAACGCTACTGTTTGGGACACCCAGCCATATCGCTCAGTGTCTCTGACCATTGCCTACGATCTTCCCGAGGTCCCCATTCAGGGAGCCTAGCGGAACCTATGTAACCCAGACTTCTGGTTAGGGTTTTCATACCCGCGTGCCAGGTCTGAGCTTAACCACCCTGGGCTTTATTCCACCCACTACCTGCCTCGGCAAAGATCACTCGCCGTGGCCACCATTTTGGTGACATGCGTAACACTTGCCCCATCCAACCTAATCTATGGAGGTCGACCAATTACTCCAGTGGGTAGCCGCGGTTGTCTAAAGCTTTTCACCTGACCTCAGCGTTGCTCGTCTGGCTGCCCCACCAATTCGTACAATGTTGCGTAGATAGCGATGTTTAAACACAGAGAGTCTATCTTTATCCTGTTTTCCTAATCGCCAAGTTTCTGCTCCATATAGCAGAACTGGCCGATTTGCTGCAGCATACACTAGACCTATTGCAGACAGCCGGATGTCGCGACGGCACCACAGATGTCCCAAGTTGACAGATGTTAATCGAGTCTTCTGTATGCTAGCTGACACTTCATCCGTG